GCGATTTCCCAACTCACGTGCACCGAGCTACGTTACGATGCTAGGTACTACACAGCGATTGCGAGATTACGGGCAATTCCAGTCTGTATCAATCGATCGTGGTCGTCCACCGCGGCGCACAGTACGTGAGCAGGAAGACATACTGCAGTTTTTTGAACAAAATCCAGCAGCGAGCACTTATGAGGCAGCCCGACAGTTCAATGTGTCACAGTACTACGCATGGAGTGTCATACACAATGAAGGGAAGTACCCTTTCCACTTGCATCGTGTTCATGAACTCAGCGAAGCTGACAAACCAGCGCGAGTTACATTTTGTAACTGGTTACTAGCTGCTGAACGAGCCAACATTTTATGGACTGATGAAGCAACATTTTATGGACTGATGAAGCAACATTTGGCAGAATAGGACTATTTAATTCGCACAATGAACACTTGTGGTGCTACGAAAATCCACAGGAACCAAGACCGCATAGCTTTCAACACCGGTTTAGTGTCAATGTGTGGGCAGGCGTCATTAATACAACGTTACTGGGCCCGGTCTTCATAGAAAGATTAAACGGTGAAAGCTATCATAGTTTTCTCACCGACACGCTGCCAGAGTTGTTAGAGGACATACCACTTGCATCTCTACGCAATATGTATTACCAACTTGACGGGGCGCCGGCTCGCCAAGTTAAGGATTATTTAAACAGAGAATACCCTGGTCGCTGGGTCGGTCGAGACGGGCCTTGTGCATGGCCTCCCAGATCGCCAGATATCACACCAATGGATTTTTATTTGTGGGGGCATGTAAAGACATTAGTGTATACTGGTCGAGCATTCGAAACCCGCGACATGTTGAAAGAAAAAATAATTTGGGCATTCGATCAAATTAAAATGAATCATCAAGTATTATCTCATGTCGGTGAACAGTTAAGTTTTAGGTGTCACCTATGCATAGAATGTGGAGGTGATTATTTTGAACGCTATGTGCGCGATACTCACCGCCATCCGCAGACAAGTACCTAAGTAAGTCTAATTTTTAAATTTGTATTCTAATATTTTTATTGATCCATTATACCTTAATATCTTTATTCAATTACTGTTAATTTGTATTTAATCATTATAAATATTTTATTGTAATATTTGTAATTATTTTAACCTGCATCCATTTTTTAAATACAACTTACATTAAATAAAAAAATAGTTAATAATACTCATTTAATTTGCACGTGCTGCAAATATCGATCACCAAATCGATGCCTGCAAACCGAAAAGGGCAGGCGGCGCCTTTGATGACGGTGACACCTGTGTCGACGTTATAATATATCGTTGGCTTGGCCTTGGGCCGCCGCATGTGCGACGTTGAGGCGTTGCCTCTTGGATGCAGGCAGAGTTGCTAGCAAACAGTATTCGTAAAAAAAAACTACCTAAATGTCTATTAAAGAATATCTATTAATTCTTAAAGAAATTAATAAAAGAATCAAATAGTTCATCAAATGGTTTTATGCAAAATAAAGAAGTATATGAAAAGTTAATGTAAAGTCATTTAAAGTGGCGCCCTGGTGCAGTAGGCACAGTGATGAATGGTTTAGTAGGCTCTCGCAACTAGGGTTACCATATCTCAGGATTTGTCCTGAGATTTCAGGATTTTTAGACTCTTCTCAGGATTGCGGCTGGATTTTGCAAATCTCATGAAATCTTAGGATTTTTAGAACTTTCAATATAATACAGCTTACATTTTAAAAGATCTCTTAATAAAAAGTTAAACAAACTAAAAATAATTTTCCTTTGGTAATAATTCCACAATTAAAATCAAAACTTATTTATCCAAGTAGATACTTAAACAGTTTTTTTTTTATCATACTTAATATGTGAAGATACCTTTTTAAGTAAGGTTTTCTTCTCAAACTGTAAAACAATCTCAGGATTTTTAAATGGAAATCAGGCCTCTTCTCCGGACTTTTAATTTTTTCATATGGTAACCCTACTCGCAACGCAATCAGCTGAGCGCGGTCGTCGACCGGCCCGGCGGTCATTCTTACTTATTATAAATTTTAATATTTGTGGTTTTATTTTGAATGTCATTTGCTCATTTAATTATGTTTAATGATTTCAACACAATGTTTGATACTGTATCAAGTGTAAAAATGCCTTATTTAGGCATTTTCTTTGACGATTTATTCCGACATTGTTTAGGTACTACAAAATACTGACTTAAAAGGAGTCAGACATGACAACAAAACCTTAAAAGTAGTTTTTTCGTAAATGTATTCTGTGAAGAGTGATCTCACTAAAATTGTTTGTAATGATGTAACCAATATATTCCCAAAAGGTCTTCAGTAAATTAAAAATGACCCTGTATAAGCGTTAGCAAGAGACAGGTTTACCAAAAATATTCTGCACCGATTAGTGCTTAATTAAATTAAAATTGAAAGATTTTATATTTCAAAATGATACTATAATTATTAAAAATAAATGGAAAATCTACGCTACTTACGTCATTTATAAAATGTATTGTTTTATGTTATCAATTAAGAACATTGTACATTACACATTTATTACATGCTATACTTGAATATATGAGATGAATAAAATATGAAATTCAAAATTTTATGTTGATTTGTGCTTATTAGCAACTCTACGAAATGTTTTATGTCGCTTCCAAATTTTGACCTAAGGTTCAGATCTCATTCCGTGGGCTTTACATCAGCTATAACGTTTTCATTTTTATTCGTAAATAATAATTTAATTGCAATGTATAGTCCACTTCAATATAATTCAACGTATAACTTAGTTTCAGCAAAGCCGGGTTTGCTAGTTAAAATAAAAGTGATGTTTTTCATTTAAGTTTATTTTTATTTTCATTGACATTCATTCATTACATGCAAGTTAGTTATCAAAATCATAGTTCATATTTATTATACGTAATACAATTGTAATCTAGTCGTTTAGTGAGTCGGCCGGTTAGTATGACGTCACGTCATGTCGCCGGTCCCATGACGGTCGCTTTATCCTGATTCTACAATTTGTGCAGCATGTTTTTGTCATTATTAAAACATATTTTATACAACAAAAGTATTACAATCAAAATAATTAAAGACTTAAGTAGAACTTAAGATTTGTATAATTATTGTTTGCTTCGGGAACCTCGCTTTTGATATCATCATCCGAAGGCATTGTGCATATCCAGAATCACCTATAAAACATTTTCAATACTTATAACATACTTATCAACATGTTAATAAGCGGAGAAAAAAATTTGGAACCTTGCCTTTGCTACCTTTTAAAACATATTGCGCGCACGAAGATAGTGACATTTCGCATAGTTAAAGTTTACATGGGGAAGGATTGCAGAAACCTAAAATTCATGACATGTGTTAAAAATATATTAAATAACAAACATTCATTGTTTACGTTCATACTGCCAATGTTTCAGAGTAAGTACGTATGTATGTAATTACTTTAAGGCTAATGACAAACACTAAGTCTGTGGTCAAACAGTCGCATAGAGTAGAGATCGTCGCCAAAGAATCTAAAAATGTTGCCAGCAAATAATTATTGACAGATTGACTGAATAAGCAATGAATTTTGTGTAATTTCAAATGTTCCTCTTTTAATGTTTTGTAGACATGTGTGTATAACATAATGTGTGTACATTAAATACCTTCGTTTTATATATTAACGTGTAGTTTAAAGTGAAATACGGCTCGCTTAAAAACTTAACATAAAATTAAATAATTACCATTGGCGGCCACTAGCATTTAGAGTTAGGTATTTAACAATTAGTACCATGTGGAGGCGGTGAGAGAGCATCACCCTATTTCGTCCCGTAGGTATCGTAAGAGGCGACAATGAGAAACGTCAGTTTAGTATGGTTAAAAAAAACAGTATAACTTTCCCGTTTACAGGCTCAATACATTAATGGCGGCTTCTCACTGCGTGTGTTATCACACGCCGCCCGCGCCCGCATGCACCGCGTGCATGTTGAAGAGCTTGGCGCGGGCAAGCGTGGCGTGGCGCGCGCTATCCGTTTAAAGTCGGTAACTTCAAAAGCGCGGCGCGGGCTCGCGCGTCGGTGCGCGGGCGCGCGCGGCGCGGCGTGTGCTTACAAGATTGAACTCGTTCATTTCATCGTAATTCGTTCGACGTTGAGGTACTTTTATGTGTGTATAGATATGGAGTGGTCTAATGAGACGATTGCTGAATTTTTAATTTTGTACGAAAGCGAACCCTCTCTGTGGAATTCGAAAAGTACAGAGCATAAAAACAAAAACGACCAGCATGATGCCTGGCTACGAATCCAAATGAATTTAAAAAATGGTACCATGCAGTTAAAAGAAATTAAGAAAAAAAAGGATACTTTAATGGGAACCTATAGAAAATTAAGGAGCAAAGTTTCCCAATCAGTAAAGTCCGGCAGCGGTGCTGATGAAATTTATAAGCCTGACTAGCCATTTTATAGTGTGATGGCCCAATTTTTGGATGATGTGTATTATCCCAAAAAAACAAAGAATTCTGAGGTAAGTACTTTATTTACTTTAAGTTATTTAGTTTTAAAATTACAAGTTACATCAATTTACAGTAATACTCGGTTTAATTGTTAACATAGGTATTTAATATGATTAGTTATTCTTTTGATTCTTATTCTGATATCAGAACAAAAACTAATCACATAGATATGCCCATGAGTGCATGAATAGGATATGTTACCGGCAATCTATTTAATTCGGTCAATTGTACAAATATCCATAATATTTACATGTCTTATCGTAATATTTAGATTTACAAGCGGTGTAAATTGTAATCTTATTCAAGGGTATACAGATTTACGGTAACATATGTAATTGTATAGTTTGTTACAAAAAGGGTATACAATACAAGTTGTGAGGGGACATCATTCTCTAATGAAAAAAAAATCGAATTTCTATAAAAATTGCTGACGCAGCTTCCTGACTTAGTATGGAAAGTAAAAAAAACTGCCTTACTATAATGTCTACATAATTTTTTTCTAGATAACTTTAATAATTATTTTGCCATGCAACGGCACCGTTCGTTATAAAATATTCTGCAAATTGGTCTCTTATATCCTTGGCGGAAAGAAGTGTTCTTCTTGGACGATTTTGCAGAGGCAGTAAGGAAGTAACTCCGCTTTGGTCGTCGCGCCAAGAACCGGGCTGAATCTCGCCATCTTTCTCAGTATCAAAGGATCCAATAGGGCTATATATAAGTCTAGACCTTTTAGACCGTCTTAAAAAGTTGTGTAGCAATGCACTGGTCATCACAATGTTGGTTACCGTATCTGGTTGTAAAAGCATAAGTTTTCTTAGTACTCTAAACACCGCAGACATAATGCCAAAGACATTTTCAACAATCCTTCGGGCTCGTGAAAGGCGGTAATTAAACAGGCGCTCTTTTGATCCCTTATTATGAGTTCCAGCGTAAGGTTTCATCATATTTTCTGTTAGAGAAAATGCACTGTCTGCAACAAATCGACGGGTGCAAAGTAAAAAAAGTTAACTGCAATTTTGAGATTTTTGGTTTTTTGTAAAAACTAACTTAAAATATCATGTTCTACAACATAGCAAAATCAAAAATATAAATATCACCTTATTTTTGGTACTTTTGTCACGTAAAAGAAGACAACTACGCCTGTTTTGTGAAATTGCACATGTAGATGCGGACAACTACCGCTGACCGTATATACGCGGGACGCGCGGGGGGCCAGCGGTCAGTCATATTGCGTCATCAGTCAGATGACATGTGCTTCGCCGGCCGGCACGAATATTTGTTTGTTTTGGTTTGTTAAGTGTTATAGTGTGTGTAAAAGTGTTATCATATTAGTAAACAGGAGTTCAACACAAAAGACATGGAAAGACGTAAATTATTGGTGAATTTAGGCAAAACGGGACGACAATGCGATATTATGAACCGAGAAGATCTATTACAACTTATCGATAACAACCGTGAAACTAGTTCTGGTACGTATTTTTTATAATACAAGTTTAATGTTATTGTTATTTTGAAGTTAAATCATAATTAGTTTTTGTAATTATGAAAATAGGTTATCATTGATATTTTTTTTACGAAACGACGCATAAACGGCTATCTGCCATATAGCTTTTTCTACGTTGCGATTGTGATGTAGATGTCTCAATTTACTTTTGTAAATTAGTATTGTTTGTTATGTTTATGAGTACCTACCTATGTTAATTCTTATTGTTAGCTATATATATTAATTGACTTATAATTAAATTATATTTTCTTACTGTTATTTTTTACTGTTGTTTCATGTTCAGAAAGTCCGAAAGACCTTTTAAAGAAGATGAAAGCTTACAGAACATAAGCGATGGATTTTTCGACAAAAATGCTGTGTTGGCCGATGAAGTTATTGAACATCTTATAGAAGACCTTGATGTGTCAGCGATGAAGACAAATGAGTATCAGTTAACTTCGCAAGATAAGTCCCCATGTTCTGTGTACTCTAGGTCGGTCACACCAGTTCACTCTCAATCTGAAATACAAATTAATTCAGAAAATGTTTATGTTGATAATAGAGATTCTCCGAGCAAATTATCGGATACACCAACGCCCTCAGAATACAACTCATTTACCGCCGCCTCAAGTCCGCCGCGTCCATTATCAGAATTAGATCAAAATATCTGTTTAATAAACTCAGGCAGGCCATCGAGTATGTCACTAATTTCAAACTGTCAATCTTCTATAAGCAACACTAGTGATGCTTCTTCGGCGGTGGAGGCATCAAGTGAATGTTCTACACCTTCGTCGTTAAACGGTAGAAAAAGACGTCAGTTCAGTATTGATAGATCTAAGAAAAGGCGATTGAGAAATAAAGACAAGTGGATTGATACAAGACGTAAATTACTATTAAATTCAGGTAAACAACATCAGTTCAGAAATGGAAAATTGCAACCTGCGAAACATCTTAAGCCGGCATGTGTTATTTGCAAGTTTAACTGTAGCGCAAAAATATCTCACGAAGATAGAAAACTTATCTTTGATCGTTTTTGGGATCTCTGTGATCACGAAAAGCAATGGGTTTTTATAGGTAAATATACAAAACGTTGTATGAAACGAAGAATTACTACAGAGAATGATTCTAAACGCCAACACAGTGTAAACTATACACTTCCAATAAATTTAAAAGAAACCAGCCCTAGAACTGTAAAAGTATGCAAAACAATGTTTAAGAATACGCTGTCGGTAAGTAATCAGTTTATACAGAGTGCTAGAGATAAATATGATAAAAGTACTGGTAACTGTGAAAAAGACTTCAGAGGTCGTCATAACAATAAAAACAAGGTTTGTACAGCCGCCATAATAAAAGGTGTGTGTGATCATGTAAACTCGTTTCAACCAGTGGAGTCACATTACACAAGAAAAGACACAAACAAAGTTTACTTGGCTGATTTAAATTTCTCCACGATGTTTAAGTTGTACCAGACTTGGGCAGAGGAAAATAGTATTGTGGAGAGGGTACACACAGCGCGCCAGTACCGAGACATAGTTAACAAGGAAATGAACATAGCCTTTTATATTCCTAAAAACGACCAGTGCGACGTGTGTATAGCATTTAAAAATTGCCTTCCTTCACAAACCAGAGCACAAGAACAGTACAATAAACATATACAAGATAAAAATATAGCGAGATCTTTGAAGAAACAAGACAAAAATGAAGCTACTTCTAATCCTGAAACTGTAACTTCGGCTACCTTTGATTTTCAAAAAATTTTGTCGACACCACACGGAGAAACCAGTTCATTTTATTATAAGCGTAAACTTTCTCTCTTTCTTTTTTTTTTTTTTCGTCTTTAATTTTATTGTTTTTGATATGGGACTTAAAAAAGGAATATGTTATATGTGGCCTGAAACTATAGCTAAGCGGGGTTCGAACGAAGTAGCTAGTTGCCTTTATAATTTTATACAACAGTCAACTAATAGAGGCATCAAAGATATCCGCCTGTGGTCCGATAACTGTGGCGGTCAGAACGGGAACCGTATTGTGTTTCTGATGTATGTATTGTATACTGCTCTCAAAAGTATAGCATTGATATTCATCACAGATTTTTGGAGAAGGGTCACACCCAGCAAGAAGGCGATAGTGTCCACGCATTAATTGAGAAATCGTCGAAGAGAAAATTCATTTTTTGTCCTGAAGAATGGTATACACTCGTTCGGTGGTGTAAAACGTCTGGCGATGCTTATGAGGTTATAGAAATAACACAAGACCAAATTTTGGATTTCAAAATATGTTTATATGATTTTAAATTGACAAAAAATACCGACAATGTTAAGTGGAATCAAGTTCGAGAAATAGTCGTTAAAGCAGAGAATCCTTACACAATATTTTATAAATATGATCTAAATGACGAAGAACTCAAGCGAATTGAATTGGTGCGAAAAGTAACTACTCGTTCCCACCGTGGCTTTAATGATCCCAAAAAATGTTATAATGAACCCATCATGATTACAAGTGCCAAGTACAAAGACTTAATAAGCCTCTGCCAGCAAAATCTGATACCTCCTAGATATCATAACTTTTATAAAAATTTGAAACATAGTTCCTGTACTGACGGTAATGAGACTGAATAATTTTTAAATTGGTTTTAAAATAATTAAAAAAAATCTTTCGTAATTTTTTAAGTATTGATACAGAGTTTAATTATTGTTTAGAATTTAATTTTCTACTTACTTTTATCATAAGTGATATACCTAACTATTTTTATAAAAAAAATGTACGAATAGAACGTACTTTAAAGGATTTATTTTTATTATTGTGTTAACTAGGTCATGGAAACGAACCTAACTTGATTATTATGACTGATGTTATTTTTTTATAAATTATGAAAACTTTAGAATTTTCTAGATTTAATTTTAATTGTTTTTTTTTTCTAACGAAGGCTATAATTATACCTTTACTGTTGAATTCTCAACCAAAGATCCGATACGATAAGATGTAAAACGGTCATTAACTAATTTTAATAATAGGAAGTGTTACAGTTTTCGTATTTACTGAAATATACTAATCTACGTGGGAATTCAAAGACTTAGTAAAGTATTTTACTAAATCTTTGAATTCCCACGTAGAAAAAGCCAAGTGGTAGTTAACACAGTTGTCATATTTTTAAGCGCAATGTAGATGCAGACAACTACAATATCTCGTAAATTAAACATAATTAGAAGAAATGAAATATACATGTGGATACATTATTAAATAATGAAGCAATGATAAAAATTTCAATAAATTTGGTTTAAAATTGACAAAATGGGAGCATTTTTTCCTATTATGCGCTCTCCTGAAAAGTAGCTGTTTTGTAGATGACCCTTTTTCTTTGCACCCGTCGAAATACGTAAGGTAGTGGTATTTCTTTCAGCGGTAAGCACTCTGGCGGTGGAAAATCCAATTCTTTTCCACAAATTTGTTTGTATAAGTCAGTGTTTCTGTATACACCACCGTCGCTTATTCGTCCCTGGCACCCGCAATTCACAAAAATAAAATTGTAATCCGCGTCGACTAAAGCCATTAATACAATACTGAAAGTTTTGTGATAGTTGATGAATTCAGACCCACTATGAATAGGACTTTGTATTAACACATGTTTCCCGTCAATAGCTCCTAAGCAGTGAGGGAAATTCCAAGTTTTGCAGAATCCTTTCTCTATCATTAACCAGCCAGATGATGTCCGTGGCAGCTAAAACAAATAAAAAACGTTATAAATTATCATGAACGTTTTTTATTTTTAGGTCACTGACGACTTGGAAGAAATAGAAGAAGATAACAGTGAAATAAACGCCTCTGAAGATAGTAAACAAGATGATGAAGAAATAGTCTAATTTAAAAGACCAAAAACTCTTCTAAACGTGCCAAAAATATTGATATAGAAAAAAAATAATGAAGCATATGATTATTTAAAACAAGTATCCCAAAAACACCAAACTCCGCAGGATGAATGTTTTTTATACACACAATTATTATGCAAAAAATTGAGAGGCTTGCAAGAAAATACACGTGAAATTGCGATGTTGGAAATTGATCGATTGATTTTCAATATAAAGCAAAAATAATCAATGGCAAACCCACATGCACAAGTACTAATCAATCAACCACAGCCTATGAATTTTGGAGATTCCGGCAATCTCCTCTATCGATATCCTCTTCAGCAAGTACAAAGTTACAATTCAACTCCTTCACAGCCATCAACATCCTACCATCCATCACCTTCTTCACAGACATCCCCATCCTACTATCCATATACTTTTCCACAGCCATCCCAAAATTATCGTCCATCAACTTCTTCACAGCCATCCCCATCCTACCATCCATATCCTTTTCCACAGCGATCCCCAAATTATCGTCCATCAACTTCTTCACAGCCATCCCCGTCCTACCATCCATCACCTTCTCCAGAGTTACTCCCAAATACTTTCTCCCCACAGCCATCTCCGAATTCTCCTTCTCTGCAGCTGTTACAAGACGAAACATTTTAGCTACGAAAAGTTTATTAAGGGATTTTGATGAACAGGAGAGTGGTAATTTTGATTAAGTTGATGATGTCAATTTCAATTTTTTAAGATTTGAAAAAATAAATACTTAATTCTACTACTTACTTTTATTTCTTGTGATAGTTCTTTTATTAATGCTTTACAAACGTCCTTGACACAACTTGAAACTGTCTGGATAGATACTTTGAAAAGATATGAAAGACTTGTGTAACCATCTCCGGTTGCTAAAAATCTAAGAGCAATTGCAAATCGTTCTTGTACTGGAATACATTTTCTCAAGTGGGTACCTTGTTTTGCAATTTCAGAGCCAATTTTATTCATAAGATATTCGTAATCTTCTGGTGAGATTCTACAGAAATTTCCAAATTTCTTACTCGGCTCTTTAACAAATCGGATAGCATATCTGATCCATTGTATCTGAAATAAAAATACAGTAATTTGTACCGAATTTTCCAGCTGCAAACAGGTATCAAAAGTATCGATACTTAACATCAAATATATTGATAGAATGCTTAATGATTACGTATGTAATTATCCTAAAATATAAACAATATTTACCTTGACCGGCTCTTATTGAACGATGTCATCCACCAGCGCCTTTTCTTCTTCTTAATTTTATTAAGTAAGTGATATCCAGAAAATAAGACAAAAGCGGCTGATGCAACAGCGATGCCTTCTTCTTCAGTTGCATTGCTCCATGGCTGGAGGTGGCAATTCGACTCACACGACATTTCAGGTGCGCTGCGCTAAACAGACTGACTCAGTGGCTCGGAGTTTGGGCAAGCAGGCACCGCGCCACGCCGCGCCAGTTAAAACGGGTGGCGCGGGCTCGCGCGTGGCGCGTGTTTGCGCGTACAAATCAACACGGCGACGCGGCGCGTGATAACTGATAACACACGCAGTGAGAAGCGGGTGGCGCGGGGCCACCGCGCGTGGGGCGTGCTTGCGCGTACAAACCAACACACGCAGTCAGAAGCCGCCTTAAGACCGACAATAGAGAGCAGCGTCATGTACTGCGATCAGTGACGGATTATCGTTAAGGCAAACTAGGGTCACGAAGTTACAAAGAGGCGCACTCGGAAGTTTTTAAACAAAAACAAAATTAAGTATCTATTTACTAACATAAAATAAAAAATCATACTTTCTATAAGGATGTAAAGCTAGCGTACCACGTCTAGGTTATTACTCTTACATCGCCCTGACTGTCTTGTCACATTTTTTGCACGCACTCGCTAAGGATATACGAGTCCTGGCCTACTCAATTGTTTTGCAAATAAAAGTATAATTTATAATATAGTTAGTATAAACAGTTACAATTGTAATATATGGCCGCCAATGGGGCGCCGATGAGATATTTAGTCTAAATCACTGTCGACATTTAATCCGCCTCCGACTGCGATCTTCAATCTATCAACCAAGCAGACCAAATAAGGGCAAATCCTTCTTATAATGTGAGAGCCCTTAGTCCAGCAGTGGTCTATGGGGAGGCCTACATTCAGAAGTAGACTTGATTGTAAGGAATGAATGACTGATTAAAACTAGTGGTCGCCTAGTGGTCGAAATTCGAGCGTTATTCATAAAATTTTTGGGTTTGTATATTAACCCTTACGTGCATAGTTTATCAAAAGTGATAGTACGGTTTTCTAGGCTCCTAGTTCCTGAACTATAGTCATTTAACTTTAAATTTTGATTTCTGAACGTGTCGTTTCATGTCATAATCTTGCCCATGATTGGTTCAGTCAAATACATGTGATTGGTCAAAATTTTGAATGATGACATTTGAATTGATGACAGCCTGGAGTGATTACATAGTGAACAAATTTGAAATTTGTGTGAAAAAGTGTGTGAAAGTAATAAGAAATAGATTTTTGGAAGGTTTGTTCAATGTTCAAATATTTTGTGTCAAGGATTCAATTTCGTAATAAAATTTAATATTTGCTGAGATTTTTGGGCTTAAAGTTTGTTATCAAAAATGATAATATATGCAGCAGCGGTAAAACTTTTCGAAATATTTGTTTATGATTTTCTACCGTTTTTTTTTTTGTAATCGTTTCTTAATTTTAGCTTTGTTTTTAAATAGTTATTTGTTTTCCACTCAAACGTCCGGACGACGCGGCGACTATAGCCTTGAACGTCCCGGCGCCGCCGGAAAAATTTCTTTAACTATATCAGAATAAAAATTACTCACAGAAAGGTAATAAAATGCAGAATTTAATTATGTTAGTAAATTATATTTTATTAAAATAAATAACACATAATACAAGAACTTAACGAAAAACTGAAACACAAAGACGAAGTTATCGCATGTCGACATCATTACAGACTTTGGATTCATAAAACCTGTAGATATACAAAAAGATAGCATCTTGAGGATTATTTTCATATATAATACTAGTTCAAAAGTATAATAAACACATTATTACATACATTTTAAATGCAGAACTCACAGTACTACCAACAAAACTTGACATAACGTTTGTTTCTTTTTTTGTGTTTTTCAATGGTATCTGTTACTTGGCATATACTATTTACTAACCCATAGAAGCGTTTTTTTAATATAGAGCCGTCTAGTGTAACATTTATGAAGATTTTTGTAACTTTCCATAGATCAAAAGTCGTTTAAAATGTTGAAGTCAGTGGGACAATGAATGACTAAGACATTTCGACACTCCTGTGGCGGTTAGAAAACGGAGAGGTGTCAGAAGATGAAAATTATATTGACGAGGACAGTTTAGATTACTACGATAATGTGGGTGAGTTGCAAGCAGACCTTGAAATAGAAGAATAGATTAAAGAACAACAGGTAGAAAATGATGAAACAGCCTCTGAAGCTCCTCTAGTTTTTGAAGAAGGAGAAAACCAGTCCCATTCATATGCTACTTCTAGTTTGCGGAATTTGATATGGAAAAAAAAAGAATTTGACTTTGGTTGAGCAGGAGTTCACATTTCTCGGATCTAACGACTACCTTCTAAATATTATGAATTTATCTTCATCTTATCAATATTTTTTTTACTTTTTTGATAAAAATATTCTAACCAGAAAGTTTTTTAATCAAATACGCCACACAAAAAAAAACAACAATTTCTCCGCACCAATGACAGTTCTCGAACTAAAAAATATATTGGTATTTTGATTTATACTTCGGTATATCATTATCCAAGTATAAGATCCTACTGGACAAATAATGTAAGATTCAGTCCAATAGCTGATACAATGACAGTTAATCGTTTTGAGAAAATTCGAGAATTCCTACATTTTAACGATAATGAAGATCATTTACCTCCTGAACATCCTAGCCATGATAGATTACACAAAATACGAACAATAGTGGACCACCTAAATCAATGATTTATGCCAGTTCCTTTTGCTCATAGGCTTTCATAGATGAGCAGATGTGCGCCACAAAAATTTCGCATTTTATGAAGAAGTACTTGCCTAATAAGCCTCATAAATGGGGCTTCAAGTTGTACGTTCTCTGTTGTCTAATGGGTTACGCATATTCTTTTGAAATTTACTCAGGAACTCATGACTACAAACGGCTACCAAATGAGCCAGATCTTGGAGCAGTTTCCAATATAGTGGTGCATTTGCTTCGACCTGTACCGAGAAAGGTAAACCACATAGTATATTTTGATAACTTTTATTCAAACTTCTTTCATTTTTTGTACAAGGAAGGCATATATTGCTTATGTACAGTCCAAAGGAACAGATTAGTAAGAACATGCAAACTACCAAAAAAGGAAGATATACAGAAAACATCTGTTCCAAGGGGTTCGTACGACGAGAATGTTACTTCTCTTGATGGTGTTGAGTTTGCAGCAACTAGCTGGAAAGATAACAAACACGTATTTCTGTTATCTACGTATGTAGGTGCAGATCATGTGGGTACTATTAAACCGCTACCATAAAAAGCAAAAAAGAACATAACGATACCATGCCCCAAAGAATATCAAGAATATAATACAAATGGGGGTGTGGATACGATGGATAGTTATTTGGGGCGATATAGGATTTGAATGAAATCAAACAACTGAACCAATAGACTCTTCCAACATATGCTGGATATGGCAGTAATAAACAGCTGGATTCTATACAAAAAAGTGTCACAGAAAATGGAAACATATCCCAAAAACATATCAAATTTTGCTGATTTTCGAACCGAGCTAGCTGAAACTTTGTGCAAGTATGGATCCGTATTTGAAAATAAACGAAGCAGACCCAGCTTGAATAGATATAAAAAGTTACCAAAAAAAAATAAAGCAAAACTTCGTGCACAGACATTACCGCCACATGACGTGGAGTTGGACATGACAAAAGCTAAAGCACTAAAAGAAATCAATGCAAATATACAAATTGCAAAAAAATTAATTTTGTCATGTGCACCAAATGCAAAATATTTCTTTGTGATAATAGAAAAAAATAACTGTTTCCAAGTTTTTCATGCTACATAAATAAAGAAAATATCACAAAATAAAAATCTTTATACTTTCTGTTATCACTAACCAAGAAACTTAAGATGAATGCATAGTTTATCAAAATTGATAACAGCTTTTTTTTCTTTACACGTTAAGCGCCATCATGGTAACATGAAAATTTACAAAAAAACTTTTTTGTAATAATCGACGTATTTGAATTTGATAAGTACCTAAAACTTTTTTTTATTTTAATCTGACGTTGGGTTTCGTAGTTATAACAGAAAAACCGTTTGAGGTCACGGGTGCACCCCATTGCGCTGCGTAGTAGAAATTTAATTATTCGTTACGGCAGCGCCATGCCGGGCACCCCGCCGCCCACTTCACTTCAGTACTGCGCTAGCGCTTGCAAGGTGAAGTTGTGTGAGTAGCTTTATTGTTTTTTTGAAGTTTGATACGTGTCCTAAAGTACATTGTTGTGTTATTCGCAAGTGTTTAAGTGAATAATGTAGACTAAGTAGTTCGGATTTTCATGAAATACAAGTAGATAAGTTTTGCGGAAGAAGACTTGCGCGATATTGCAAAACTTGAGTCTAATTTTCTTAATGACAAAGCGTCTGCTGGGTGTTCCGATAAACGTCATATTGAATTGGGCAATATTTTTTCCGATTCTGACAGTGAGAATTTACGTATTCCGAAAAAACGAAGCCGATTGATTATTACAAGTGACACTAAGAGCAAAACAGATTCGGTTCAAAATTATGTATCAGCCAATATTACCAGTACAGATCGTACTTCAAAAAAATTGTCACGGCCAAGCATTGTTGCCAATTTAGCGAATTTATCGCTAGATCTAGCGACATTATGTTTTTTACAGCGGCTTAAATTATGTGTCTAGCGACAAAAAAATCTAGCGACTATTCTAACGACTTCTAGACCTCAAATAAAAAATAATTATTTTAACTATCTTCATAAAATATAGCAAGATCTTAGCCCAGAGATCTTTCTTCTCTATATTCAGAACTGCGTTAAGAAATCAGATTTCATTCCGACAAGTCTGTCTTTTTCCCACTTGTAGCCTTTGAATGAGACAGACTATTGTGAGAGTAATATTTATCCAATTTCGGAACGCTGCCATAAATCCTTAAGCTTAAGCGGGGATTCCCCCAACGCTGTACTTGTGTACAGGAAAATCCCGACGTAAATTTTTTAAGGTATTGTATAGTATATTTGCGTATTCATTCGTTGATAGTGTTGGAGTGTATTGTGCTCTCTAATTGTACAATATTAGCGGTTGCTTATTAAATTTGCTGTAAGT